TTGTCATTATTGGTGATACTGAATGCTTGTGATTTCTGCACCACTGACCCTTTGTATCCTGAGATTGTGCTGAGGTTGCTTATCAGCTTAAGGAGATTTGGGGCTGAGAAATTTGGAGTTTGTCTAAATATACAATTCATGTCATCTGCAACAAAGAAATTTGACTTCCTCTTTTCCTATTTGAATAAGCTTTATTTCTTTCTCTTGCCTGATTGTCCTCGGCCAGGAACTTCAGGGCATCCCTGTCTTGTGCCAGTTTTCAAAGGGAATGCTTCCAGTTTTTGCCCATTCAGTATGATATTGGCAGTGGGTTTGTCATAAATAGCTCTTATTATTTTGAGATACGTTCCATCAATATCAAATTTATTGAGAGTTTTTAGCATAAAGGGCTGTTGAATTTTGTCAGCAGCAGTTGCATTTCAAGCCTGTAACACAAATGGCTACAGACAGCTTACCTGCCTTTTCAGTAAATATTTGAAATAAAATAGAAAGACATGCAATGTATACCCATGAAGCTGTCTCAAACTACATTACTGTAATAGAACATATACAATCACCTCTTCCTCCTTGTAGCAGTTTTAAATTTTCAGGGAAACGGGATACTTCCACATTTGAAAAGGTTGTAACCCACCAATTGCTATGAATGCAAACTATGATTAAAACAAAAATACCCGGGAAATTGGACTGAATTCTGATGGTCTGAGTTAACTGCTCTCTCACCCTCTGTAATGGCTTCTGAAGAGCTGGTAACCTTCTGGAATAGAGGACACTTCTGAGAATCTGAGGCCTGCTCACCACATCTCCTCCCTCATCTCCATTTCACTCTCTATTCTCCCTTTAAAAATGGGTTCCTATATCAATACTATTGAGCAGAGAAGAAGTAACATTTACATCTATCTTGTGCTTGTAAGAAGAACAGCACAGCTGAACATGTGGGTGACACCTTGCACAAAGTAAAGACACAGGACTTAGCTCTGACAGTTGGAATGTGGGAGAATAGTGAGGACGGGCAGACACTTTATTTTAAGGGGAGTCATTTGGGTAAATGTTTAGGAATACCACTGCCAAAGTCACCACAATATCCTTGGGGGATGTCAGGTTCAGGGCCTAGAAAAAATGTAATATGCAAACACACACAAGCATTCTGAACAAGGAATTTCAAAATCAGGTTCCCAATACCTCATTTTTCACCACAATAATAATAATATCACTTTGAGTTGCAGGCATACTGTAAAGCATACAGGAAAAGCAGATCAGTTAGAGAAAAGAGAAGGACTATATCCAATGACTACTATTTCCTTATGGAGAGGAAAACCGGCCACAGAAGAGAATACCATTGGTTTTGCTGTGCTGGATAAAGAAAAGGAAGGGATGGTCTGCACGGAATGTGGGGATGATTTGTAAGCTCTGGAGAACTATCCTGCAGGCAGCAGCAGCTGCTGCTTCTGTACCTTCCTCATTGACCTCCACATAGGACTTGTGCATGACCTTGGACAAGTACAGATCCTTCTTAGATGACATTCCTGAGAAGTCTGCCCTGTCCTGTTCAAAGGCATCGACCACCGCCCATTCTGGAAGGATGCTCCTCCCATGTTGTAATTTTCCTCTATTGTAAATCAGGAAAAGGAAAACTTCCATCTCGTCGTTCTGGGGCATCTTGCTGGTTTGTCATCTTCATGAATCGTCTCATAAACTGAAACAGTTCTTTCTCCACCTAAAACAAGAGCATTGGAGATTTAAACATCTAGATCCACCGTGTTTCCAATGGGGGACTGTTTTCTAATGAGTTATGATCAACTCCCAGTACTGCCTAATGTCTAGGCCATACCTAATAATGCCACTGAGCCACTTGAATCCGGACAAGGCAAGAAGCCTGTTTTTGAAATTTAAATTTTCGCTAATCATAATGGTCACATCATCCCAGTGCTAGTGGCTACCATATTGCGGACATCACACATATGAAGACACACGTAATGCTGAGCCATTCAGGTAGGAGAACTTTATATTTGCAATCTTTCGATCCCTAATCCCCAGAAGACTGCCAAACTGTCCCTGAGGCCAGACACGTACAAGCCTGATCACATTGAACAGAGAGATTCCTCTTTAAGAGTTGTTGTTGGCGCGGGTGCGGTGAATCACGCCTGTAACCGGCACTGTTTGGAGGGCCGAGGCAGGCGCATTCACCGTAGGTCAGGGAGATTTCGAGACCCATCCTGGGCTAACACAGTAAACCCCATCTCTACTAAAAATACAAAAAATTAGCCGGGCGTGGTGGCGGCTCCCGTAGTCCCAGGTACTCGGGAGGCTGAGGCAGGAGAATGGTGTGAACCCGGGAGGCGGAGGTTGCAGTGAGCGGAGATCGCGCCACTGCACTCCAGTCTGGGCGACAGAACGAGACTCTGTCTCAAAAAAATAAATAAATAAAGTTGGTTGTTGTATCTTAACAAAAGCATGTTGATGTAGGGCATCTCAGACTTGTCTCCGCTTTCACCCAAACTCCCTTTTAATGAATCCATCACCATTTTCTGTTCGTTTAACTTCCAAAACCTCTAGGCCTTTCGGCCTTTCCTCCACCTTTGTTGCTGCTGCCTTCATTCAGGCCCTTGTCATGTCTTGTTTGAAATGCCACAGCACCTGCTTTCTGATATGTCTCCTCTATTCTTGCTCCTTCTAATTTGTCCGTTGCAGCCATAAGGATTAGCTTTCTTTAAAAAGCCAATTACTGCCCTGCTAAAAGTCTTCATTGACTCTCTACAAACTTGGTACTCAGTGTGCTCCATGGGCCAGTGGCTTCAGCATCACCTGGAAGCTTGGTAGAAATGCAGTATCTCAGGCTCCAACCCAGTCCTACTAAACCCAAATCTACATTTTAACAAGATCCTTTGGTGATGCGTAGAGTCACAGCAGCTTTTCCCCAATGACTGCTTTCTGAGGGGAAAACTCACAACTATTGGGCAAGGCTGGAGAGAAGACTACTAATATTAGTCAATGTCATATTCTGTGCATTGAAACAAATGCCTTATATAGGCAATCCCCTTTATCCTACAATAACCCTTACAGAGAAGTACTGACATCAATTTTCATAGAAAGGAAAAGCTAAGAAAGCACACATTTCTAAATTGTAAAGCAGGACCTTGAACTCTGACCTGGTTTGTCCCCAGCCTGAGTCCTTTCTGGGATGAGAGTATTTTCTAAAAGGTGTTCAACACTTAGAAACCATCCCACTGAATGTAACCATAAAAACAGAAAAGGGCATGTGGCCAAATATGTCAAGGAAACACTGATCAAAGCACATTTTCAAAGTTTTTCCCTAAAAGACATCCTCTGAAAGCCTTTACTATGATACATGCATACTTTGAACACTCATTACCGTTTCCAAATCAGTGTTTTCATCTGGAAGCATGATGATCATATTCAGCTCCTTTCCAACGTAGGGAAGGACCAGAATTTCAGTGAATATTTCTTTTGCATAGGTAATTTTAAAAGTAGATTTTTGAGACATCATTTGCACAGGTTTTCCTTTCTTCTATAATGAAAACAGTTAACCATTAAGTTGAAGCACAAGAGTTGAATATTGGACATAATCAACAGAGTTGGCAAGTGTCTGTCTGCAGTAATGCTTTCTTCCCTTGGTCTCTAGAACCTTGTATTAGCCCCTGCCTTTACTGGGTCATGTTCATTACCTCGATCTCCAACCGCTGGGGTTCCCATGGCTCAATCCTTACCTTACTTTCTCTTGGTGATCTTGAAGGGAATCAGGATATGCCACCCCAAAATACACCACTTTGGCTTAAGAATTATTTTGAGCTGAAGGCACTTGAGTTCCTGAAATATCTTAACTACTTAAAAGCAGAGCCTCCCAAAGGCCTCAAAAGAACTCAATTGTCATAGGTTAATTCCTTGGGAACAACCTTAATTTTCTTAAAGATGAGAACTCTGCACACACCCAGCCAGGCATTGTCACTTGACTGTTACATCTGCCATCTGTTCTACTCTGAAGGATCCATTTCTCTTTCCCTAAAGTCATGTCTTTTTCCCTAAGTGCCGTTCCTTCCCCTCCCTTTCCCCTAGTAAGTTAGGTAAATACACCACCAATTCTAACCACCCACTTGAGTTATTCATCACTGAGTTCTCCCATGGGTATGCGGGATGCACATGTTAATAAGTTTCTATTTGTTTTTCTCTTGTTAATTGTCTTATGTTATTCTAATTTATTAGGGCCCCAGCCAGAGAACCTGGGAAGATCAAAGAAAAAGATTTCTTTTCTCCCCTATAATTTCATTGAGTGTCATGAATCTAAATAGGAAACCCAAATTTGCACCTCTGGCCTGGAGCTCACCCCAGTAGTTCAGACATTCCATTTTGCTGCCTACTCAACATCTGCATCTGAACATATAAAATAAACCTCCAGTCTAACATGTAACTCTGGGTTCCCCCATTCCCTTCCAGGTCTGTGCCATCTATTTTCTTGCCCATCTCAGTTCACAGGGACGCCATCCTTCCAGTTTTCAAAAGCCCTGGAGTTAACCTTGACTCCTGTCTTTCTCTCACACTACAGATCTGACCCATTAGCAAATTATATCAGCCCTGTTTGTAAAATGTAACCAAAATCTAACCTGTGCTGCCTTCATTGCTATCATCCTAGCCCTGGGTGCCTTGTTTCTGCTCTTATCCTCCTTGTGGTTATGCTCAGTACAGTAGCCTGAGGGACTCTTAAAACTTAAGTCACATCACTCCTCAACTGAAAACCCTTCTGACTCAGAGCAAAAGCTAAAATCCTGGTAAATTGTGCATCATGATGGTATTCAAAGAGTTTCAGATTTTGGAGCATTTCAGATTTCAGATTTTCAGATTCAGGACCCCCAATCTATGCTTAACTCTGCTGTTGTGGGATTAAAACAACCAGAGACAATACGTAAACATAGGAACATGGTTGTTTCAATAAAATTATACGCATAAAAATAGGTGGTGGGCTAGATTTGACCATGGTCCATAGTTTGTCAACTCCTGGCCTAGAGAATTCCTGTCCTCACCTCCAAACCTCCAAACCTCTAGCCTTGCAATAGAAAAGGATCCATTCTTAGTCTTCTATATTAACTGAATTATTTAGTAAATATGCATTTGTGTAGATGTTTTGTTTTATTTAGGAAGAGAAGTACTAACTAGAACTAAAATGAAAGAAGTAATATCAAATCAAAATCTGTGCTCTTTGAGGAACCAAATAGGTTGGTGTTCTTACCACCCATTGCAACTACTTTATATTGCCTTTCTCTAGTATAGAGGCTAGAATGGAAGATATAATTATTCACCTCCTTAAAGCGTAAAACAATTCTGGCCAGTGAAATATAGAAAAAGTTTCCTTTTATGACTAAAATGGTAGAGCCTCAGGAGGAGAAGACTTTTGCAGCACCCCTTTTGTTCTTCTAACTTCTTTATTATTATCATACTTTATGTTCTAGGGTACATGTGCACAACGTGCAGGTTTGTTACATATGTATACATGTGCCATGTTGGTGTGCTGCACCCATTAACTTGTATTATATTAGGTATATCTTCTAATGCTATCCCTCCCACCTCCCCACCCACAACAGGGCCCAGTGTGTGATGTTCCCCTTCCTGTGTCCAAGGTGTTCTTATTGTTCATTCCTACCTATGAGTGAGAACATGTGTTGTTTGGTTTCTGTTCTTGCAATAAGTTTGCTGAGAATGGATGGTTTCCACTGTATCCATGTCCCTACAAAGGACATGAACGCATCCTTTTTTATGACTGCATAGTATTGCATGGTGTATATGTGCCAATTTCTTAATCCAGTCTGTCATTGATGGACATTTGGGTTGGTTCCAAGTCTTTGCTATTGCGAATAGTGCCACAATAAACATACTTGTCCATGTGTCTTTATAGCAAAACAGACAAACGGAAGAGCCAAATCATGAGTGAACTCCCATTCAACAATTGCTTCAAATAGAATAAAATACTTAGGAATCTCAGCTACAAGGGATGTGAAGACCTCTTCAAGGAGAACTACAAACCACTGCTTCAATGAGAAATAAAAGAGGATACAAACAAATGGAAGAACATTCCATGCTCATGGATAGGAAGAACAATATCATGAAAATGGCCATCTGCCTAAGGTAATTTGTAGATTCAATGCGCATTCCCATTAAGCTACCGATGACTTTCTTCACAGAATTGGGAAAAAACTACTTTAAAGTTCATATGGAACCAAAAGAGTTCACATTGCCAAGACAATCCTAAGCCAAAGAACAAAACTGAAGGCTCACTCTATCTGATTCAAACTATTACAAAGCTACAGTAATCAAAACAGCATGGTACTGGTACCAAAACAGAGATAAAGACCAATGGGAACAGAACAGAGGCCTCAGAAATAATACCACACATCTACAACCATCTGATCTTGACAAAAACAAGAAATGGGGAAAAGATTCCCCTATTTAATAAGTGGTGCTGGGAAAACTGGCTAGCCATAAGCAGAAAGCTGAAACTGGGATCCCTTCCTTGCACCTCTATAACAAAATTAATTCAAGATGGATTAGAGACTTAAATGTTAGACCTAAAACCATAAAACCCTAGAAGAACCTAAGCAATACCATTCAGGACCTATGCATGGGCAAGGACTTCGTGTCTAAACACCAAAAGCAATGGACAACAAAGCCAAAATAGGACAAATGGGATCTAATTAACTAAGAGCTTCTGCACAGCAAAGACACTACCATCAGAGTGAACAGGAACCCACAAATGGGAAAATTTTTTCTTATCTTCTCATCTGACAAAAGGGCTAATATCAGAACCTACAAAGACTCAATCAAATTTACAAGAAAAAAACAAACAAAACCCCATCAAAAAGTGGTCAAAGAATATGAATAGACACGCCTCAAAGAAGACATTTTGCAGCCAACAGACACATGAAAAATCTTATCATCACTAGCATCAGAGAACTGCAAATCAAAACCACAATGAGATACCATCTCACCACCAGTTAGAATGGCAATAATTAAAAAGTCAGGAAACAACAGGTGCTGGAGAGGATGTGGAGAAATAGGAACACTTTTACAATGTTGGTGGAACTGTAAACTAGTTCAACCATTGTGGAAGACAGCGTGGCGATTCCTCAAGGATCCAGAACTAGAAATACCATTTGACCCAGCCATCCCATTACTGGGTATATGTTCTTTTCTAACTTCTTGCCTGCATTGTGGGCTTAATGCCTGATCTATCACGAGACCATGAGGAAATAGGTAATGTTCTAAAAATGACATAGCGGAAGTAGAGAGGCTTGGTCCCTGGAAGTTTCACCCACATCCCACATCAGCCCTGGCCTCTGGCCACCTCCAGACTTCCTGTTAAGGGAGATGAACTTCAGGAGTGTAAACACTATGAGCAGGGTTTTCAATGACATCCTAACATACACCTTATTAAAATAAATTTCAAGGACAGAAATATTTTGCCAGGAGAAAATATGACAGTTCATTTCAAAATAAAGCTAGAAAAAAAAAATACATTTCTTGAGAAACTGAAGATTTAGGCTTACATTGGCCTGAAAGATTTAACTAATGGTCAATGATCAGTAATTACCTTAAGTAACATATTCTGTCTACTTTTGTGTATGTCCAAACATTTCTAGAGTTAAACAAGAAAGAATAAACACGATTTAGAGAAAGATAAAGAGCCTTCTGCAAATAATATATTCAAAATTGGAGGTAGCTAAACTCTGTCTGTCCTGTGTATGTGTTTTTGCTCACTTGGTTTTAAGCAAAAATTTGTGCTTGTTTAATATCTTTATTATTAAAAAAAAAGACTGAACATAATTCATTGGTTCAGTACTTACTGAGTACATGTGTGTGTTAGGCACTTGTAGCATTCTCTACACTCAAACAGCAACAAGCAGAGCAGGAAAAGAAGACACCTGATTCAGCCACTCCAATGCCACCAGGGAGACAGGCAGGGGTCACTGTGACAGCTTAGAGGAGGAGACAGCTTGGGGAGGTGCATTGTCAAGAAAGGCATCTCGGAGGGAACGCTGGCAGAAAGAAAGGAGCATGAAGGTACAAAGGGAAATGAAGATAGAGAAACAGGCAGGATCCGGATCATGAAGGATCACATCATACCATGGAGTTTGAACTTTATCTCACAAGCTTTGGGAAGCCAGTGGCTGTACACTCTGTACACTCAGATTTGTGGTATAGATAGTACCCAGTATAGATGAGATGAGATAGGGTGCTGGACCAGAGGCCTGGGAGTATGTAACCACGTTGGTTGAGACACCAAACAGAGATAAAGGGAAGGAGAAAAGTCTCAAGGTTTGGAGGGGAGTCCAGCTGCTGAACTACCGAAGGGTCATGTCCAGTCAAAGTTATTGAAGTTAAGCTTCTTGCAGGTGTTAAAGCCAATAGGACAGTTTCTAAAATCACCTTTGATAGTGCAAAATACTCACCTTGCTGATTTTAAAAGGCATTTCCCTAGTTTTGTATTTCTCAAATGAATGATCCCAGTTTCCTTTGAAGTAGATGGCATTCACGAGAATCAGCTTAGTCAATGAATCAACTGAACCTCGAGGCAGCACCTCTGTAATTTTACCTGTAAAGAAGAGTTAAAGAACCATTTACCTAAATGTATTCCTTGATGCTTGTATCAGGAGGGATATTCAGATTGTGTGGTCTCTTTGAGAAGGCAACTATGCATGAAAGGAGTTCATGGTGTCATGAAATATAACCATGTAAAGGGATGCTTGTCCTTAAAACAACCATAGTAACAACACTGCAACGAACAGTTGAAATTGAATATAAGCTCTAGGAAGAAGAATTCCACAACTTGAAAAGAGTGCATAAAACAAACAGGCAGATATTTATAGGCAGAGGATGAACTGATAATAGATTAGGTAGAAAGGAATAATTGGTGACTATGGCATAAAGAAAGAAAGAAAGAAAGAATTGTCAAAAAAGTGAGCAGTTGTAGCAAGTGTAAAGAACAGTTTAAATTAAGAAGAAGGAAATTTTATTATTATTAATGAAAATAAAACCTACTTAGTACTAACCAGAAAAGAAGTCAATTGAAATGTAGATTGTTCTGGAAGAAACGTACTGAATATTGAGAAACATCAGATACTTGGTAAGAGTGGGGATAAAGCTAGAGAAAATTTCTATCCATTGGCAATATTTCAGAAGCAAATTTTTAAGATTTGCATAATTAGAGAAAAAATCACTCCTTTTATATTTGACAATTTTGTAAAGAAACTAACTATAAAACTGTTAAAATATTATTGAAATAGATTAACGATATATTTTCACCTTCAGTCTTATCAGCAACCCAGGCATTTATGTGTCTTCTGCAAGTCTCTGCATCATTAACAAAGTCAAGGTTTTCTATTTTTGCTTGGTAGAATTTGCTGCAAGAATCTGTAAAACACTAGGATAAACCAAGCAACATAATTTTATAGCTACAGAAACAAGACCAACAGCTTACTTCTTCATTGTGCCACATCAGAAAATCAATAATATTATGATTTAGCATACATTTACAAATATAAGGAATTAACCAAAAGTCCAAATTCTTTTCAGCAATATTTACTCTTAGCTTGTAAACTAAGTAATATAGTGGTCTGCGTATCAAATAATTTTCATGACCTGCTGGATCCCTGAAGACAATAGCAGTGCATCAATGACATGATTAAAGACACAGAGAATTATTCAAGAAGACCTAGCAATCCTTACATGCATGCACCTAATAATTGAACATCAAAATACTTCAGACAAACACTGATAGAACTAAAAGAAGAAACAAATTCACTTTTATAATTGGAGATTTCAACACTCCTTTATGAGAAATAGACCAATCCCGCAGGCAGAAAATGAGTAAGAACATAGTTGAACTCAACTTTGTTTTTCAAGGCTTTGAGATTCTGTGACTATAAAATGTGCCACTCCTACAAACTATTAAATTTGTTGAGTGAGGATTAACACAGCAAGTGCTATGGCTGCCTCTTCATTTTAGAACAACAGAATATAAATACGAGTCTACCGTTCCATAAATTATATTGGAAAAATATACAATTCTAGGCCAGCAATCTCCATCTGAACCTTCTGGGATGATGAGAATGGTGTAAATCTCCAATGTCCCAAGTAATGCCACATCGGCTATTGAGCACTTGAAATGTGGCTAGTTGGACTGAAGAGCTAAACATTTAATTTTATTTAATTTTAATTAATTTCATGGAAACTTTAGTAACCACATATAGTTAGTGAGTGTTTCAGACTACAATCAACTTTGCAAAAAAAGTTCATACTATGCCGGGCGAGGTGGCTCACACCTGTAATCCCAGCACTTTGGGAGGCCAAGGCGGGCAAATCACGAGGTCAAGAGATCAAGACCATCCTTGCCAACATGGTGAAACCCTGTCTTTACTAAAAATATAAAAAATTAGCCAGACGTGGTGGCAGGCGTCTGTAATCTCAGCTACTTGGGAGGCTGAGGCAGGAGAATTGCTTGAACCCCCCCAGGCAGCAGAGGTTGCTGTGAGCCGAGATCGTGCCATTGCACTCCAGCCTGGGCAACAAGTGTGAAACTCCGTCTCAAAATAAATAAATAAATAGATAGATAAATAAATAAATAATCAAACTACATTTAGTTAATATAGTCTGTAGAATTATAATATTAACAAAAACCTACATTATGTCATATAAAAGCAGGAAATTTGGTGGAAATTAAATGGACTGAAATAGCTAATTTATTGATCGTGCACTATAGAATTGTTTGCCAAACTTTCCCTCAAACTACTCACAGCTAACTATTTAATTCCCCTCTTCAGAATTTTGTGGGGTTTTTTTGTTTGTTTGTTTTGTTTTGTTTTTACAGAATTTTCTACTTCTATTTCAGCATAGCATTGGAGAGGAAATGTGACAGTAGTTAGGAACACAATTTCTGCAACTTACTAGCTGTGTGACCTTCAAACACTTTCTTAATCTCTTTATGCCTCCGTGTTCTCTCCTGTAGAACAAGGAAGCAGTAATAGCTACACCTCACAAGATAACTGTGAATTCCTATGAAATATCACCTTTTCATGTAGCATTTTTGAATTCTTGGTATGTTTCAGGCACTACGTAACTGATTTATGTACATTATTTCACTTAACCCTCCCATAACTCATGCTTTGCCAAAATTGCTGGCACTGCTTGTTTTTCAGTGGTTTGGAAATTGTTTACATCTCTCAATATGAAAAATAATCTGAAAGTAAACTGATGAATCTCACATATTGATGACTTGTTGCACCCCTAGGTGATCTTTTTATCTATTAAACATGTTTTAAAATAATTGTTTGCTATTTTAAGTTACTATTTTACAAGCCATCACTAGTCAAAGTAAAATAACATCTAATTATATATTGCTCTTGGTGCCAGATTCTTGGAAATAAGAATAATTAATTAATTAATGAGAAACAGATGACAAATAATTCTCATCTCTTTATTTTACATTTCAGTATCAAAATAACATTTAAAATATCAATGATTTTCTTAAAATAGTCACCAAAAATGGATATTTGTTTGTTAACATTTTGGTTGTCTCTATATGGAAAACTAATAAAAAGCTGGTAATAAAGTTAATAGTAGCTAAGACTACAAAAATAAGCTGTAAAAATCACAATACCGTATACAAATCTTATAAATATTTGACTTTATGCCTTACAACCTTCACTTTATAACAATTTGTTTTGAAACAATTAATTTAGAGTCTGAAACAAGTTTGAAAAATAATGAATAAAACCATATAACACAGTAAGAGTGATATCCTAAACATAAATGATTCTTATAAATCAGTAAGAAAAAGACATCCATCCCCATGGGGAAATGTGTAAAATAATACGTAAATAGGTAATTCACAGAAAAGACAGAAATGCTCAATAAACATAAGAAAAATTGTTTAATTCCACTAATAACCAAAAGCTTTAAAAGTTAACAATATGCGGTGTTGCCGATGGTGGGTGGAAATGAACACTCTACAAATATGCCTTCGGGATCGTAAAATGGCAACAGTACTGTGGTAAGCAGCTTGGCAGTATTTATTAAAACTTCAAAGCTTCATTCCCTTCCTTCTGCAAATCCATCCTAGACAGTAACTTACACACATAGGAACGCAACTGTGTACAGGATATTACTGTTGGTAATGGCCCCGTTTAAACACAGCTGAAATGCTCATCAAGGAAAGAAATGTTTCCTACATCAAGATACACCCGTACTTAGGAATATCGGACAATGGTTAAAAAGAGTGATGCAGATTCACATAGATTGAGGTGGAAAGAATTTAAGACACATTGTTAAGTAAAAGACCACAAAGTATAAAGCAATATGTATGGTATAATAATATTATATGGGGGGAAAACTCACAAAGCAAAATTTCTAGATGTGAAGGAGGATACACCTCAAATCTGTAAAAGCTCTGACATTGAAAAGGAGAGTCATGGGGTTGGAAATATGTTGATGACGACTCTTGGTTTATATACATTATATGTGTTTTCATATATCAAGAAATTACTTGAGTAGTTTTGGTTTTTAAAAATAAAAATGTCGTGGCCAGGCACAGTGGCTCACACCTGTAATCCCAGCACTCTGGGAAGCCAAGGCAGGCGGATCACTTGAGGGTAGGAGTTGAAGACCAGCCTTGCCAACATGGTGAAACGCCATCTCTACTAAAAATACAACACTTAGCCAGGTGTGGTGGCACACACCTGTAATTGCAGTCACTTGAGAATCAGAGGCAGGAGAATCATTGAGCCAGGGAAGTGGAGGCTGCAGTGAGCCGAGATTGTGCCACTGCACTCCAGCCTGGGCGACAGAGTGAGTGAGACTCCATCTCAAAAATAAATAAATAAATAAATACATTTAAAAAATAAAATTTAAATTTAAATGTCATAAAAGCACTGTCAGCAAATACGACCAGTATAATTAGCCAAAAGTAAGCTTTAAAAGATTTTCAGTGTCTAAAAAGTAAAGCAAAATATTAAAATGTGTAAAACATTAAGAAAGTGTCACAATGCACATAAATGTTAACAATATCTGCAAAGCAATTACTAGAAATACTCATTTTGATCATTTCTTTGTTTTGGCTGATTCTTTTCCAATTGTAAATGTGTGTAAATTCTTTTATAAAGATTATCTCATTAAAGCTTCACAAAACTGGGCAGTATTTGCTCTAAGACTCATTTTATAAATGATAAAATGGAATCAGAGGAGTGTGTGAGGTTCCTGAATGGAGTCCTGGATTCAGGCCCACCTGTATGAATTCATAGCCCACATTCTTTCTACTACTGTCCATCACCCATTACTATCTTTATTTTCTCCAATGAAAAACAAGTATGACTTACCGAGAGGAAGTCATAAGACTTTTCTCCAAAGAGCTGGTTAGCAGTTCTAAGCAAGTAGTGAGTGCCAGTTCTATTAATTTCAGTGAGAAGTGACTGAAAACCTTCGTGAATATCTCCATCTTCACCTCCAATTTTACTAAAAGAAAGTGCCTGAAATTAAACAAAACAAAAAAACAGGGGAAAATAACATTTTCAGTATTCCTTGACTTCAAAAAATAGGCACAACACTAAACTTAGCAATAAGAGGTTTACAGATCCTTATTGTAGCTTAAATGATGATTAATTAAAGATGAAAAGTGTCTTGAAAGCCACTCAGTCTCCCTACCTATAGCTCTTCTCAGTCCTGCCTATAATTACTTCCTAAAGGAAACCAAAGTTTTCTAAGTATTAGTATGAGTGGAAATGCCTTTTGCAAATCCTAACAAAATGTATCTAGTTATTTGTGCTCACTATTTGTGGTAGTTTGTCTGAAAACACAGCTGCCAACCATATGTTCCATCTCTGCATGCACAGGCTGCTCCTGACATCAAAAGATGGAGTCTCTCTCCCCTCCTGTGGGATCTGGGCTGGTCCTGTGACTTGCTCTGAATAACAGAATGCAGACATGATACTGTCCTTAAAAAGCCTAGCAGCTTCCATTTTTGCTCTCTCATAACCCAGCTACTATGGTGTAAGGAAGCACAAGCTGTCCTAAAGCAAGGATACACAGAAAGGCCTGGAGGAATGGGAAGACTTGCTTGTAGGGAACTAAGGCCCCAGCCACCAAAGCAGCACCAAGACCCAGACAAGTGAGTGAGACCTTCCTGGACCTTCTAGCCCAGTAGCCTGCAGAAGCACCCACATGAGTGACCCCAAGTCACCACGGATGGTCAGGCAGTGGTAACATGCTCCATCCTGCCAACTCTCCATCTACATCCTATGATACTATCAAAGCTGTCTGTTAAAAGAGGAATTTCTTTGGGACTTGAAATGTAGAAGAGCTCAAGTGAGTAGTAGCATTTATTGTTGTCTTGAAGTGGCTCTAGGTACCTGAGACATCTGGGCTGCAGTGTTTCCCTTCGCTCCCATGAACACCATGGCCAAGGCTGACGACATGCTCATGGGTGAAAAAAATATGTTGTTTGAGTTGTTTTCCCCTAGCTTTTTCAAAAGGTTTAATGCAAAGATGCCAGTTGCTTCTGATAGAGCGTCCATGACAGTGAACCTGAAACAATGGATTTTAAAACAACATTACATCAATGTGGGCTTACATATGTATTGTATTTTTACTCTTATTTATTAATAAATATGGTTAGTACTTTTGTTCAGTGATAGGTACACATGCAAAAACTACACTAGGGCTTTTCTTGCAAAATTTCATTTAATCCATACAACATGATGAGGTAGGTGCTGTAAATATCTGCATTTTACAAGCAAAGAAATGGGGCATTAGCTGTTTTTCCTTATGTTAATATTGCTTTTCCTTCATTTCTTTAGTTTTCAATGTATCTCTGGCAAATTTTCCCCTAAATTTTCTACAGATCAAACATTCTTCGTAATTACTTTATATGTTCAACCACATATGAAGAAACTATCAATCCCATTTTTCATCTCTCACAGTCTTTCAGTCTGCTGATGAGTGCAGCATTCTTTAAAGTCTAAAATTTTCATTACCAAAAAAGAATTTTCACAAGGAGAGAACAACTTTCCCTACTATTATACTTTAGTTATTGATCAACTTATTGTTTTCCAATATGATAAACCTAATTTTTTTCTTAAACTTTAAAGCATACTGCTTACACAGCAAATAAGCCATTTTTTAAATGTTTAAGCATTAATTATGAAGTCTAATCATCAGATGCTTTATTTATTTATTTATTATTTATTTATGTATTTTGAGACAGAGTTTTGCTCTTGTCACCCAAGCTGGAGTGCAATGGCGTGATTTCGGCTCACTGCAACCTCCACCTCCCAGGTTCAAGTGATTCTCAAGCCTCAGCCTCCTGAGTAGCTGGGATTACAGGCACATGCCACCACACCTGGCTAATTTTTTTATTTTTAGTAGAGACGGGATTTCACCATGTTAGCCATTCTGGTCTCGAACTCTTGATCTCAGGTGATTCGCCTGCCTCGGCCTCCCTAAGTGCTGGGATTACAGGCGTGAGACACTACGCCCAGCCTATCAGATGTTTTATTAATCATTGATTACAAACTCTAATATATCAGATGTTTTAAAGTTTTAAACAACTTTAATAACAAACTTACAAAGTTAAACACTTATAAATCCAGTAAGCTAGATTCTCCAAAAACATGGTATCAGCATCTCTCCTGGTTTCTTTTAAAGGAGGAGAGTTGTAAGGTATGAATTGTGGACACTCAGGCAGCATATGAGTTTAGGTACTGACCAAAAACACTGCTGCTCTTCTAACGCCTTACCAGTGACAAAACTGGAATGGATATTTATTTTTAGTTCCTAAGTATACCATGTGTAAATCCAATTGGCATTTAAAGATTTTATACATCTTCCCTTTCTGAAACACACTTTCATTTAGAGGCTGTCCACTGGGGCCCAATTGTACTACCCTTCTCTTTCATAATTCTAATGTGTTGCATCCACTGCTATTGATCACTGATATTGCTGACTCTATTTCTTTCTGAACCCATTGCTCTTTCATGTGCAGCAACCCTATCTCATCTAAGACAACCCTTCGCCAATGTCCTTTGTTTTAAACCCGTGTTTTTCTGCTTCATTGTTTACTCCTTTGTTTTGATGGAGCAATAGCTTTCTAAGACAGAATGCACAAACTTTGATGTATTGCATATTTGAAAATATCTTTATTCTTCCATTAGATGCTATTGATCATTTGGCCGAGTCCATAATCTAGATTGCAAATCACTTTACCTCTGAAGTCTTAAGGCATTGCTTCTTTGCCATCTAGCCTTTAGTTTTGCTGTTGAGAAGTCTAATGACACTCAGATCCCAGTTCTCTCCCCGCTTCCAGTTTGCCCCTCTTTAGAAACTTACGAAACTTTATCGTTATCCCTGGTCATCTAAAATGTCACGAAGACTGTGTCCTGTGAACCCAGTTCGTCATTTTTGTGGGGCACTTGGTGAGCCATTTCAATCTAGCAATTCAAGATTTTTTTTATTGTACTTGTTGTCAATTTCCGCCAGACAGATTCTCTGTTTTATTTTTCTGTCCCTTCTGTTAGTCAGGTACTAGAACTCTTGGATTGAACCCCTCATCTGGAGTTTCCCAATCCTCTTCGTCACTCTCAGAAAATATATGAACAGCAGCTTGGGATAAACGAAACTGCCCATTACAGGAATGACCAACTCCAGTCACCCAGATCTCACCCAGCTATCCCGAGTTGTAGGGATCAATATTGTGACACATCTGCTACCTCACCCAAGGCACAACACCCTGATAGGCATTCAGGTTTGAAAACTCTGCTTTCATCTTCCAATTATCAAGTTTTACATCACTTTGATATTTTGTTCCATTTTTCTGAAAGACATCTGTGGGTTTATCCTCTAATCTTTCTATTATTATTATTATTATTTTTTGAGACAAGGTCTCACTCTGTCACCCAGGCTGGAGTGCAGTGCTGTGATCATGGCTCACTGCAGCCTCGACCTCACAGACTCAAGCAATCCTCCTGTCTCAGGTCCCTCCACCCATCTGAGTATCTGAGGCCACAGGCACGCACCACCATATTTGGCTAATTTTTGCATTTTTTGGCAGAGACGGCGTTTCACCATGTTGCCCATGCTGGTCTTGAACTCCTGGACCTCAAGTGATCCGCCCACCTCAGCCTCCCAAAGTGCTGGAATTACAAGTGTGAGCCACCACACCTGGCCTCTATTAATTTTTAAAATTTAAGCTAGTAAAATTTTGATTTCCAAAAAATCCTACTTATGCCCTGTTACTCCTTTTTCACAGCATTCAGTTTTAATTCCCTAGAGAATGTCAATTATAGATTTATTGTGCTGTGTTCTGCCTCTGGTGCTGCCTCACTTTCTCAGATGTCTTTGCCATTGTGGTTAGTGTTTGCTCTTACTATTGAGATCTCTCTCTTCATACATGGGCTTTTCCAGAAATGCTGAACTTTCCAGACCATGTTTAAAATGAAAACACTGATTAGAAATTCTGTTTACATGGGTAGGCCATTTTGGTTGTAAGGGTGGAGGCTATGGGAGGGAAAGGTGATTCACTGCAATGCGATTTTGTTGAGGAACCAGGAAATGAAGGTCTTTTTTCTGAGACCAGTAGGTTTTTCGAGACACTAATCTTCTGGTGGTATGGAAGCAGGTGGGGTCGGGGACTGAGGGGACGTTCCCTTGGCCATTAGCTGGTTTCCAGCCTGGTGCCTTCCTCCATCCCCTCACAGAACCTGTGGGTCCCTGCGTTTGAGCGTCAGATCCTGTAGGGGTGAGACATTGGCCTGCTATTGGGTAGCTGGCTAGGGGAGGGAGGGTGGTTGGTTGCCAAGGTGGGTACTGGCATCAGGGGATCAAACCATTCTGTAAACAGATTTAGACCAAGGCCCCTATTTCTCAGCCCCGCATTTCCCTCCTGTCATTTCAGGTAATTAGTGCCTCCAATGTGAAGCCTCACAGCTCTTTACAGGTTACTTCCCACCCCCACCCCACAAAAGGCACTGAGGGCACCAGTCTCACTCTTCTATCCTCTTTCCTCCTCCGAAAATCTGCGAAAATCTCTTGCCCACTGTTTGCTTCCTCTCTTAGTTTCACATCAATCACAGTGCACATTGCGTGACTTAACACATCAGCCCTATGAACTACAACCGGGAGATTACAGCTCTCAGTCACACTTCCGTCGCCAGGCACAATTAGACCCCTATGGTGCTGTAAATTAATTTGCTATAACTTATGTTTTCCAAAACTGAGTTTTAAGGGATGGGTGAGAAGAAACTAATTCCAGTGCCAATTTTATCTTACACAACAAAATCTAAATACGAATAAAATGCATCCCCCCACCGCCCGCACACCCAATCTTCTCTTAGCTTAAGGATAACGAATTTTGAAATATTTTATCTTGCAATGAGTTCATTTAAAACAGATGTGGAATGTCCCTCATGATTATCTTTGCAGGCCTGGACGACCTCAAAAGTGCTGTGGTGTTGGCCAAACTCTGGAGGCCAGAGAGGGCTGTGACACCCATGCGCTCATTCTTGGAAAAGGTGTTGGGGGAGGCGCAGGGTCCAGGCTGCCTTTGGGACCCGCCCCTAGTTCTCTCTTGAGTGTCTCCATTCTTCTCAGAAATTTCCAAGGCACTGCTCTCTGCAGGGTCACCTGTGGACAGGTGGCCCCAGGCTACAGACCTAGAGGCTCCCCGACGCCCCCATCCCGCAGGCGGCCCTGCCTCCTCCTGGGCCTCCAGGTGTACGGCCCCGAGTCCTGGGGTCCTAGTGGTCCGAGGAGTCACAGCCTCCTCCCGCCCCCAGTGAGTACTTCAGCAGGGTGGGCTGGGCGGCCTGAATGTCTGCACCTGTCTCCCAGCTCCAGCAGGGTGAGCCGAGACGAACCCAGACAGACCCTCCCCAGATCCGCACCCATCCTCCCCACCCGCGTCCTCGTCAGGACCGGCAGGGATCTCAGTCCGGCGCAGCTACGCCCCTGCCGTCCGGAAGCCCCAGAAAAACGTCCCAGGTCCAGGAAGGCGTGGTGGGCACTATCCCTGGCGCACCTTCGCAGCTTCCTGCCCCTTTCTTAGGCGCAATAGCGGATAACCTGGTGCCCGCGTGTGGAAGCCGCTCCCCAAACCAGGCACGTACCCCAGTTGTAGGCGGCGCTGCCCAGAAGCGAGGAGAGACCGGGTCGGAGTGGCGGGGACAAGACGTCTGGCCGAAGCGGCTGTCAGATCCTAGCGGGGTAGGGAGTCCGGCAGAGTCGGCACCCGGCCAGGCACCTCCCCAGCCCAGCTGGCGCGTAAGTAGGAGGGCGGTGCGAGTCCCGCAGGCAGCAGCGGCTTCCGGTGCGGCGCATTGAGGACGCTCAGGCGAATAAAACGAAGACGCTGCTCTCTGGGAGTTTTCAATCAGGAAGCAATATTACCCCCCCCGCCCCATTCCCACCCCGAGTTAATGTGTCCCTGAAAATAACTGTGAATTATTACTTCAGTGACCAGAAAAGTGCCAATTCTTGGTACATCGAAGTAAGCAGCACATTGCAGAACGACAATTAAAAATAAACGAATCTATGCAGCCATCTAGTGATATGAATAAGCTGCACGTTGCAGAACAAAAATCAAAAATAGACAAATCTATGCAGTCGTCTAGTGATATGAATTGGACTTCAGGGCATTGACAAATTATACAAATGACTGTGAAAACCCTGTTTACCTTTTTGGAGCAGGCATGGAGAACAGAAAGGATTCAGATGACTGGGGGTAGGGAGAATAATAGCTGGATTTTACTTTTTGTTTTTATTTTTTATTGATAGATAAAAACTGTATATACTTTCAGGTACATGTGATAATTTAATACATTCATACAATTTATAAAGATCAAATCAGTGATGCTGGGATGTCCACCACTTTAAATATTTGTCTTTTCTTTAGGCTAGAAACATTTAAATAATTATCTTCTAGCTATTTTGAAATATGCAATAGACTATTGTAAACCATATTCACCCCACTGAACTATCAAACGCTAGGTCTTATTATTCTATCAAACTGTATATTTCTACCATTAATCTTCCTTCCCAGTCTCTGATAACCACTAATATACTCTCTATTTTAATGAGATACACTTTTTCACTTCTCACATATGAGTGAGAACATCTGATAATGTTTTTCTTTCTGAACCTAACTTATTTCGCTTAACATAATGGCCTCCAGTTCCATCCATGTTTCTGCAAATGACAGGATTTCGTTTCATTCTTTTAAAAGAATGTTTAGAATATTTATGGCTGAATAATATTCCCTTGTGTCTATATACACCACATGTTCTTTACCCACTGATCCACTGATGGGCACTTAGGTTCATTCCATATTTTGGATATTGTGAGTAGTGCTGAAATAAACATGGAAGTTCAGTTAGCTTTTCAATATATTGATATCCTTTCTTTTGGATATATACCAAGTAGTGGAATTGCTGGGTCATAATGGTAGTTCCATTTTTGAGGAACCTCAGTGCAGTTTTCAATAGTGACTGTACTAATTGACATTCCCACCAACAGTATAAGAGAGTTCCCTCTCCTCCACATTCTGAGTAGCATCTGCTATTCCCTGTCTTTTTGATAAAAGACATTTTAACTGGAAGGAGATGATAGCTCATTGTGGCTTTGATTTGCATTTCTTTGATTAGTGATGTTGAGCATTTTTTTATATAGCTATTGGCTGTTTGTATGTCTCCTCTTGAGAAATGTCTATTCAGATCTTTTGCCGATTTTTAAACCAAATTATTATTATGATTATCATTTTTGCTATTAAGTCATTTAAGGTCCTTATACATTCTGGTTATTAATCCCTTGTCAGATGGATAATTTGCAAATACTTTCATTCTGTGGGTTGTCTCTTCCTTTTATTGATTGTTTCTTTTGCTGTGCAGAAGCTTTTTAGCTTGATACAATCCCATTTGTCCATTTTTGCTTTGGTTGCCTGTGCTTTCAAGGTCTTATACCTTTGCCCAGACCAATGTACTCCAGCATTTCCCCCAATGTTTTCTTCTATTAGTTTCATAGTTTCAGGTCTTATATTAAAGAACTTAATTCATTTTTATTTTATTTTTGTGTATACTGAGAAATAGGGCTCTAGTTTCATTGTCCTACCTGTGGTTATCCAGTTTCCCGAGCACCATTTATTGAAGACACTCTTTTCTCCATTGTGTATTCTTGGCACCTTTGTAAAAAATGAGTTGCCTGAGCTGGGCACTGTGGCTCACACCTGTAATCCCACCACTTTGAGAGGCCAAGGCAGGTGGATCACTGAGGCCAGGAGTTCAAGACTAGCCTGGGAAACATGGTGAAAGCCCATCTCAACAAAAAATACAAAAATTAGCCGGTCATGGTGGTGTGCACCTGTAGTTTCAGCTACTCAGGAGACTGAGGTGGGAGGATCACCTAATCCTGGGGAGGTCGAGGCTGCACTGAGGCATGATTGCGTCACTGCACTCCAGCCTGGGCAAGAGCAAGACACTTGAAAAAAAAAAAAAAACACAAATGGGTGGGCTATAAATGTGTGGATTCATATCTAGGTTTATATCTAGGTTATTTATATCTAGGTTTATGTTCCATTAGTATGTGTGTCTTTATGCAGAACTATGCTGATCTGCTTATTATAGCTTTGCAGTAAATTTTGAAATCAGGTAGTGGTATGCACCCAGCTTTGTTTTCTTTGCTCAGAATTACTTTGCCTATTCTGGCTCTTTGGTAGTTCCATATAAATTTTAGAATTTTTTTTTCTATTTCTGTGAAGAAGTTCATTGGTATTTTGATAGGGATTGCACTGAATCTTTAAATTGCTTTCAGTAGAATGGATGTTTTAACAATATTAGTTCTTCCAGTACATAAGCATGAATATCTTTCCAGGTTTTGTGTGTTCTTGTCTATGTTTTCATTACTGTTTTGTGGTTTTTCTTGTAGAGATCTTTAACTTATTTGATTAAATTGATTACTAGTCATTTTATATTCTTCGTAGCTATTGTAAATGAGATTATTTTCTTGATTTTTTCAGATTGTTCATTGTTGATGTGTAGAAATGCTATTTAGTTTTGTATGTTGATTTTATATCTTACAACCTTACCGAATTCATTTATCGGTTCTAACTATTGTTTTGCTGGAGTCTTTAGGTTTTTCTAAATATAAGACCATGTTATCTTCAAACAAGGCTAATTTCACTTCTCCCATTCCAATTTGGGTGCCCCTTATTTCTTTCTCTTGCCTAATTGCTAATTGCTCTGGCCAGGACTTCCAGTACTATATTGAATAAAAGTGATGACATTTGACATATTTGTCTTCTTCCAGATCTTGTAGGAAAAGCTTTCAATTTTTCCTGTTCAGTTTAATATTAGTTATTTGTTTGTCACATGGCCTTTATTACTTTGAAATATGTTCCTTCTATACCCAATTCATTTTTTTAATCACAAAGCAATGTTGAATTTTATCATATGCTTTTTCAGCATCTATTGAAATAATCGTATGGTTTTTGTTCTTCGTTCTGTTAATGTGGTGTATTGCATTTATTGATTTACATATTATACATTGAACCATCTTTGCATCCCTGGGATGAATTACCTTTGATAATGGTGAATAATCTTGTTAATGTGTCGTTAAGTCTAGGTTGCTAGTAATTTTTTGAGGATATTTTGATCTATGTTCATCAGTGATATTGGCCTATAATATTAAAACCTTATAGATATAACAAATTATTTTAAAGAGGTGACAACTCAGATTATAAAGGAGAGAACAGATACAAAGAAAATGAAAAAAATACACTTTAATTCTATCCCCCAATTTTTAGTTTATGTTGTCTCAATTTACATATTTTTATATTGCCTATCTTTTAACTGGTTGCTGTAGCTATTGTTGTTTTTGATAGTTTTACCTTTTGGGCTTCATACTAGAGTTACGAATGAATTACATACCACAACTACAGTATTAGAGTATTCTGAGTTTGTCCATGTACTTAATTTTACCAGTGGGTTTTATATCTTCAAATGTATTCTTTTTGCATGTTAGTGGGTTGTTTTTTTTTTTTTCAGATTGAAGGATTCTCATTAGCTTCTTTGTGTGTGTGTGTGTGGTGGTGAATTCTCTCAGCTTTTGTTTTTCTGGGAAAGACTTTATCGTTCCTTCATTTTTGAATGATAGCATTGCTGGATATAGTATTCTTAAATGGCAGGGTTTTGAACAATGTCTTCCCACTCCTTCCTGGTCTCTAGTTTTCCATTGAAAAGTCTGTTGCCAGATGAATTAGAGCTCCTATAAATACTGTTTGCTTTTTTCTTGCTGCTTTTGGGATCCTCTCTTTGTCTTTTACTTTTGAGAGTTTATTATGTACCTTGGGGTAGTCTTCATTAACTTGAAACTGGCTTTCTCTAACCTTCCTGCATCTGGATGTTGATCTCTTTCTCAAGTTTTGGAAAGTTTTCTATTGTAATTTATTTGAATAAACTTTCTATCCCTTGCTCTTGTTCAATTCCCTGTTGAACAACAATAGTTCAGTGATCTTTTTATTGTCTTGAATAGCTTTTCCAGAATGTCATGTAATTAGAATCATACAGTATGTAATTGTTTCGTATTAGCTCTTTATACTTAGTAATATGCATTTATATTTCCTCCATTTTGTGACTTGATAACTCATTTATTTATTGCATGAGTAATATTCAATTGTCTGGATGTAGCAAGGTTTCTTTATCCATTCACCTACTGAAGGATATCTTGGTTGCTTCAAAGTTTTGGCAATTATGAATAAAGCTACTATAAAATCTGTGTGCAGGTTTTTCTGTGAACATAAGTTTTCAAGTCCTTTGGGTAAATACCAAGGAGGATAATGGCTGGAGTGTGTGGTAAGAGTACGTTTAGCTTTGAAAGAAAGTGCCAAACTGTCTTCCAAAGTGGATATACCATTTTGCATTCCCACCAACAACGAATGAGAGTTCCTGTTGCTCCACATTTTCACCAGCATTTGGTGATGTCAGTATTCCAGATTTTGACCATTATATACGTATTCAATAATGATATATAATGTGGAGAATATTTTCTTAACCTTATTTGCCTTCTGTGTATCTTCTTTAATGAGGTGTCTGTCAAGGGTTTGGCCCTTTTTTCATTGGGTTGATTATTTCTTTACTGTTGATTTTTAAGAGCTCTTTGTATATTTTGAATAACAGTCCTTAATAAGATGTATCTTTTGCAAATATATTCTCTGAGCCTGTGGTGTGTCTTGTATTCCCTTGATAGTGTCTTTCATGAAACAGAAAATTTTAATTTTAATGAAGTCCA